CATAAATGATTGGTGATATTCTTAAAATAAGTATACACGCTTATTAGTTATTAAACATTTAAAAAGAACGCTTATTGTGAACATTTAATTCGAACCTGTGAGGGAATGAGGAACCCATTAGATTTCAGGTTCAACGCCTTAACCACTCGGCCATCACAGCCGGTTATACAAATTCGTTATTTAAACAAAATTTGATATGATATTCAAATATTGCAAAGGAATATTGAAGAAAGAAAAAGAAATATTGGCAACAAGATTCTGACATGTGTTGAAATATAACACATTTCTTCATTTTGATGCAACAATCAATGGCGCATCGTGGTGAGATTCTTAAAACACGTATACACGCTTATTAGTTATTAAACATTTAAAAAGAGCATTGTGACCAGTATTCGAACCTGTGAGGGAATAACCCATTAGATTTCAAGTCTGGCGCCTTAACCACTCGGCCATCACAGCCGGTTATACAAATTCGTTATATAAACAAAATTTGATGATATTCACATATTGAAGAAAGAAAAAGAAATATTGGCAACAAGATTCTGACATGTGTTGAAATATAACACATTTCTTCATTTTGATGCAACAATCAATGGCGCATCGTGTTGAGATTCTTAAAACAAGTATACACGCTTATTAGTTATTAAACATTTAAAATGGGCGCAGTGAACAGGATTCGAACCTGTGAGGGAATAACCCATTAGATTTCAAGTCTAACCCATTAACCACTCGGCCATCACAGCCGGATACACAAATTCGTTATTTAAACAAATTCTTATGATATTCACATATTGAAGAAAGAAAAAGAAATATTGGCTAAATGATTATGATATGTGTTGAAATATAACACATTTCTTCATTTTGATGCAACAATCAATGGCGCATCCTGGTGAGATTCTTAAAATAATATTACACGCTTATTAGTTATTAAACATTTAAAAAGAGCGCTGTGAACAGGATTCGAACCTGTGAGGGAATAACCCATTAGATTTCGAGTCTAACGCCTTAACCACTCGGCCATCACTCGGCCATTTAAACAAATTCTTATGATACCATATTGAAGAAAGAACAAACTCGTTATTTAAATGTGTTGAAATAACACATTTCTTCATTTTGATATTCAACATCCTGGTGAGATTTAAAATAATATTAGAACGCTTAAAAATATTAAACATTTAAACAGAATTCTGAACAGGATTCGAACCTGTGTGAAAATAACCCATTACATTTCGAGTTCATTTTAACCATCGGCCAACAGCCGCTTATCAAACTCGCATTTCGTTATGATATTCAGATATTGAAGAAAGAAAAGAAAATTTGCAACAGTATTCTGACATGCTTATAACAGTTATTAAATGCAAAAATCAATGGCGCATCGTGGAGAGATTCAAAAACAAGTATTCTGCTTATTAGTTATAAATATTTAAAATGACTGCTTTTGGATTCTAATCTGTATATATACATATATACATACATATATGTATATATGTATATATATATATATATATATATATATATATATATATATATATATATATATATATATATATATATATATATATATATATAGAGAGAATGAGTAGAGAGAAGAGAGAGAGAGAGAAGATTAAACTTGATCCCTGGTTAACTTTATAATTTTAATCTTTTATTTTAAACTTAACTGGTAACTTACATTTAATCTTTATACTGATTTCTAATTTAATCGTATCTTAACTTTAAAGCACTAATAGTTGATACTTATGCCAGATTATGTTGGGTTGTTATTTTAATTTCCATATACTTGTATTCTGATTAGTCTTTATAGTCTTATTTTTAGTCTATATCCAACTGCTTCAAGCCGGGGTTGAAACTCGATTGATCTGGCATCATTCAGAGATCTACACTCACACACACACACACACACACACATATATATATATATATATATATATATATATATATATATATATATATATATATATATATATATATATATATATATATATATATATATATATATATATATGATGCATGTTTCATTAAATAATAGAGACAAGTTTTGTCTATTTATTTTAAGTAAGTTCCTTTCATATTGTATGATAAGTTTAATAAAACATTATCGTTGAAAGACGAAAGGAAATCACCATATTGATACATATTTCTTAATCCTAGCTTTATTTAGTTATTTTGGGTACTCGCATCTGGGTTTTTTTCTTTGGGCCTTGACCTCATATTCCGGACGATTATTTTCGGTTAACGTACATGTCCTTGGTTCTTTCTTCTTTTTATAGCTTTTTTCCCCTTTTGTATTGGCTTGTTTATTTGCAAATCAAGACACTGAAGGTTTTCCGAGCGAGTATAGTTTCTTATACGTATAAGAGTTCTATTAATAATAATAATAATAATAATAATAATATATATATATATATATATATATATATATATATATATATATATATATATATATATATATATATATATAGATAGATAGATATGGATTTAAAAAATCAATTTTAATACAATTATTTCGGGTCTCATTCGACTCTGGCTAATAACCTTTCATAATTATGCAAACACACACATATATATATATATATATTATTTTAATATTATAATTCTTGTTTATAATATTATTTCTTTTTCCCTAGCTAAAAGCTTTAGAGAAAATGGAACCAATAAATTTTTAGGGCATATAAGAAGAAAAGAGGTGTTTCAACGTGATATGATCGTAAGCCCCCGGGGCGAAAAGGATGGTAGACAGTCGATCGTTCCTTATAGTTACAAGGGACAGGACGTTGTGGAGAGCCATGATCACCCATATAAAGAAGAATTGGCTCGAGATTTTATTTGCGTGGTAATGAAACTTCGATATTCGGTATTTGTTTGTTAAATAATTGTTTTTTTTTCTTTACAAGAAATGATGCATGCACTAGAAGAAGGCTGAAGAAAATATCGATCGAAGCTCTATTAAACCAGCGTCGATATAAATAAAACGTTTCAAGACAAGAATGGTGTGAGAACGAAGGTACAATAAGTTAAAAAAAAAAACCCCCAAAAAACACAGAAATGAAATTAATTAAAGTCGGGAGCTTATGATGTAGACATGTTGATCCCCATCTGTTGGCTCTTACTCAACGAAAACACGTTGTTCCCTTCTCGATTCAGGAAGTATTTGCTGCCAAACGTCTTGTCGATGGCTGGTGATTTTCCCCTCCTCGTACAACTGTCGATAAGCAGTTCTATTTCAGAAATGCTTTAACCTAGTACAAGGCCCGGTATTTACACGAGATAGTTAAGAGGCAGTTTTGTACGGATAGGACGGGGAAGATAATGGTTAACCCTCCGGTTATGATTGTAGTGATCGGGGAAACATCCTCTTGGGAGTCGGTTCCACAGAACAGTTATTCCCGGGAAGAAGCTGTTCGAGTGGAATACCGATGGAATACTGAGGGAATGTGGGTGGGGTTTCTACTATGTAAGTGACATGGCGGGTCCTTGCCGTGAAGGTTAAAACAGACAGTACCAAAGAACATAGTTCGTCCGAGCACTTTCCATAGAAATAGTGACAGACCACGCCTGTGAGAGAGTGGTTGGTCAGTGGAAAATAATTTGTCACCCACAAGGACTGGGAGACGCTTTTGGACTCTACCTAGGCTGGAGAGTGCGATATGGGCAGATATGATAACAGTACTCTATTTTTCGCCTGATCTGGCTCTTGAAAAGGTAGAGGATGGCAGGTACTTACAGGTACAGGGAGCCAATCATTTTATCTACTTCTTTAGCGATGGCTCGTATGTATGAGTTCCACCTGAGGTCAGGTGTGAGTTTAACACTAGGATGGCCGAGGTGTCGTTTTCGACACCTTCAAATTTTCAACCAATTACTATGGAATAACTAGTTTTGGTTCGATGCTGAGGCTTGTGGACAGTTATTGAATTTTAGCAAAGATCCTTAACAGACTTAATTCTTTAAAAAATATTCAGTGGAATAGCTGATATTTGAGGTTTTACCTTGAATGGCCGAGGTGTCGTTTTTGACACCTAGGCTACTTATAGGGTAAATGCATTGAAAAATTTCTCATAAGCAATAATACTTGTTTATGTCCCCTATCTATCTATTTATCTATCTATCTAGACACACACATATATAATTTTATATATATATATATATATATATATATATATATATATATATATATATATATATATATATATATATATAATCACTTTCTTTCAGTATGAGGTATACTAATATTTGTGAATTTCTTTTCAGACTTGTTATTCCTGACTTAAATATTGAATATATTAGAGATGGCTGCTTCATGGCGTAATGTAAATAAAGATGTCAAAGGAGCTGGCTATCCTAATGTTAAGGTCTCTCAAGGCACGGAGCCTCTCCAAGGGATATCCATTCATCGTGACTGGTGCTAGTTTGAGGTCTGATCGACAACTTCTCGCTAAAAATGTCTTCGACGGTTTTTTTTTTTTTTTTTTTTTTTTGAGTAAGTCCATTCCATGTCATCGAAAACGCTTATCATTATTTGTTATTCTGATTGCTGTTTTTTTTGGGGGGGTAAAAGGAGGGGGGCATTGTCTGCTGTAAATTGAGAATATGTCTGTAGGTGCACTGTTAGCTTTTTTTTCTTAATCTATCTTTGTTTTCTGTGGCTTACGGCCACATCATATTGAAACGCCGTACAATCACAGAAGTTAAGCAACATCGACTCTGGTCATTCCCTAGATGGGTGACCGTTTGGGAATAACAGGTGCTGTAAGCTTGGATGGTGTAATAGATAACGGCTCGGAGTTGTTAATCGGAGAACTGGGTTCTAATTCCCGTTGCGTTCGTTATATTCACTGACGCGCCCTCTTGAAAAAGGTACGAATCCACCGCTTCTCCCACCGGATGTGGGTTAATTAGCAAGACTTGTATCAGTAAATCACAAAAAAAATCTTAGAAATTAAAAAAAATCTGGCTTTAAATAACCTGCAAAGTGTTGATAAACCGTAAAAAAAGAATGAATGAATCTTTCTTTCTCCCTCCCTCTCTCTCTGCGTTAGTTTCTTTTTTTTCATCTACCTTAACGTTTTATTTTATTTTTCCTTCTTTTTTTCTTTTACTGTTTTTCTTCTTAAAAGTATTCTTTTTCTTCATCTTCTTTCTTTTTTCCTTATATTTTTCGTTTTCTTAATTTATTTTCCTTCTTCTTTCTTTCATTCTTTCTTACAATCTTTCTTTTCTCTTAACCTCTCTCTCTCTCCCTTAGCCCTTTCTTTTACATAGTCTTCTTTCTTTCTTCGGTCTTAAGGTAAACACTGACTTCCTTAGACTTCCCTTTCATTCTGTATTCTTTCTTTCCAGTTTTTCTCTGACTTCGCCTTCAATTTTTACTTCCTTTAGTTTCTTTCTTTCTTTCTTTCTTTTTTGTTTTATCTGTCTGTCTTAGTCCTCACTTTTATCTAGTATTCTTTCTTTCTTTCTTTCTTTCTTTCTTTCTTTCTTTCTTTCTTTCTTTCTTTCTTTCTTTCTTTTACCGTAAGATTAAGGTAGATTAAGCTTTCCCTTTTTACTTTAATTTTTTTCTCTATCTGAACCTTCTTTTTTACTCAGTTTTCTTTCTTTCTTTCTTTCTTTCTTTCTTTCTTTCTTTCTTTCTTTCTTTCTTTCTTTCTTTAACATTCTCTTTTACAATCCCCGTTCTTTCTTTTGTGTTAACGCAGTCTTCTTTCTTTCTTTCTTTCTTTCTTTCTTTCTTTCTTTCTTTCTTTCTTTCTTTCTTTCTTTCTTTCTTTCTTTCTTTCTTTAACATTCTCTTTTACAATCCCCGTTCTTTCTTTTGTGTTAACGCAGTCTTCTTTCTTTCTTTCTTTCTTTCTTTCTTTCTTTCTTTCTTTCTTTCTTTCTTTCTTTCTCCGGCTTCAGCATTTTCTCGACTTCATTGTTATTCTTCTTCTATGTTTTTCTCTTTTCTTTTAATTTCGATTCTTCCTTTTCGCGCCATCTCATCTATCTATGCCAGCCATAGACCTTCGACTCTGCGCATGTGAGCAGGTCCGTAATTACGATGTATGTCTCCACTCATAATTACCAATGAGCATACAGAAAGATTAAGATGGCAATATCAATAACATTCAGCAAGACCTGGACCGTCGCTTCGACTGCAAAGACCTTTGCCTGGCTGGCAAGAAATTAATAAGTCAAAAGATTTCCCCTCATTTATCATTAAAGATTCTTTAATAAATTCTTAACTATTTCATTTTACAGTGGAAGGTGAGACGCTTGCTGAGTGTTTATTGTAAATCAAATGGAGTAGATAGGTTCGCCTCTAGTCCGCTTCACTTTCTTTTGGAACAGTCAGTCAGTTATGTGCCATGCGTGATACACCATCCAAGGCTATAGAACCCGATCTGTCCTGTTATTTACCCATAACTGGGGAGAGAAGATGGTTCATGCCTTTCCCAAGGGTATTAGCACGTAAGTGAATGTAATGGATTCAACTGGAAAGTCAGTCAGTCATTTATGTGCCATGTGTGATACACGCTTAGGCGATCATGTATCCTTCGATATATGACTGACGGGGCAGAATTTTCCCGCAATAGGTTGCCATTTGTTTCTGCGGTAGACCAGATGCCATCCAAGGTTACAGAACTTAGTCTGTCCTGCTATCTACTCATAGCTTAGAAGAAGAGGGTTCATACCTTTCTCAAGTATATTAGCGCGTAAGTGAATGTAATGGATTCGACTGGAAAGTCAGTTATGTGCCATGGGGGATACACGCTTAGGCGATCATGTATCTTTCGATACATGACTGACGAGGCAGATTTTTCTGCCTCGTCAGTAAGTTGCCATTTCTTTCTGCGGTAGACCAGTTGCTATCCATGTTGCAGTTTCTTCATAACTACGTAACGCAGTTTTAAACTCAGTGAAAGTTAATTGTTTATCTTTTTGAGTTATAACTGTCGTGAATGGTTTGAATGTCGGTGGTAAACCCTTTAAGACCATGGCTATTAGCAGCCCATCTGAGATAGCCTCACCTGCAATTTTTAAGGCATTTGTGACATTCTCTGCTCGGATAATATAATTGTTAGTGATTCATTTTCTCGCCTCTTTAACGCGGTTAGTTCAGTATATAAAGCAATAATTTTAGGCTTACCTTTTGACAAGTAGTGTTCACGCAAAATTTGTAGAGCTCACCGGCCATTGTCCCTGGCTTATTAAAGACAAACTCCGGTCATCCAGGAATTGTATTAATTCAGCGAACACGGTCGCATTTCTTTCCATAAAATCATCATCCCCCTTATGGTCGTCTTCGCAAAGGATGATGTCATGGAGTTTTTGTATTCTGAGGTAGCCTAAGAACTTCGTCTCCCACAATTCATATCTCGATTCATTCCCGTCAAAATATAGTCGTGGTCTGCGCTCATAACCAATGTTGTTCATAATGACGGTTGTCTTGAGTAGAGAATCCAGAGGTTAGCAGTGAATATCTTGAAGACAGTAGGAAAGCGTTGTTCAGGTTAGCAGTGGATATTTTGGTAAAAGGTAGCAGAGCATAGTTCGTCCTTCTGTTTCTCTTCGCCTGACAAGCTGGACTGGACATTCGGGTGGAGTGAACAAAATGGCCGCCTTTATACACGACGGATTGAATGTTCTACGTCTTGTGATTGGTTAACCTTCCATTGGTGGACTATAAAGCGAGTCAAGTCATTTGGACTAACTCACTAGTACATAGATATACACAAAAAACTGCAACAATCCAAGCTATAGAACCAGGTCTCTATTGTTGCTATTTACCCATAGCTGGGTAGAGAAGAAGAGGAGTCATACCTTTCCCAAGGGTATTAGCAGGCAAGTGAATGTAATGGACTCGACTGGAATTCGAACTTAGCTCTCCGATTCCTAGTAGAGGTTTATCCCTTGTTACCTGTTTAGGATCATATTTCCGGTTTCTTCTAAAGATCTTTTCATTCTCTTTGAAGTAACCCCTTGCGTCTTAGGGGCATTATCGCCTTGCAAGGACGAACTGATTAAAAAAAAACATACGCGTTTAAAAGTCGATTGAAAGGAATGTGCTTCCTAATTTTTGCAAAAAAAAAAAAAAAAAAATGAACATTGTAGTTTCTGTTAACATTTAAACGGTGGAAAATATTTACTCGAAAGTGCATCTCAAGCGAGGAAAGAAAGAGGAAATAATTTTTTAACGGATAGTTTTTGCGAAATTTTGTGGCTTATCCCACTTGACTTTTCTAAAAAACGGTCGCTAGGGGACGCTCCTTGAGCCTAGAGATAGGAAATGATAGTCTCACGTATTCCTTTTCCTTTTTATAAACCTGAATCATCATTGTCGTTGGTTGGTTCCGCCTGTGGCAAAATGAAAATTAACATAATTTATTCACCGCCTTTTTATTACGATCTCTGGCAGACTTATTTATTGTTTACCACTTATTATTATTATTAGTAGGGGACGCTCCTTGAGCCTAAAATTAGGAATGACAGTCTCACCCATTCTCTTTCCTTTTTTACAACTATGGCTGTAAGATGTAGTTGCACGTGGGAAAAAGGTGGCCTCCCCCACTGGGAAATGTTCATTTTCAATGTCTTATGTTTCTCACGTGACTTTTTATTCTCTTTCACACATGTGTCTATCACGCGGGCCAATACAAAAACTCTAATATATCGATTTTCTTAGATGAAGCACAAGGCCGTAGGTATGGGGCAACCCAGTAGGGATCGAACTCATTATTCTGTCGTAACTGTTTTAGCGAGACAAGCTTGCTAACCATTACACCACGCCTAGGTGCTCTAAAATCATTTTCTAAGCGCAGCGTAGGTGTGGCGCAAGGCCGAAAACATGGGGACCCAGTAAGGACTGAACTCACTACTCAGTTGTAATGGTTCTAGCGAGACCTGTTGAGCATCCAGCAAGGATTGAACTCACTACTCAATTGTAATGGCTTTAGCGAGACATGCTTGCTAATCATTACACCTCGTCGAGATACCCTTTATGATTTTCTAAGCGCAACATAGATGTGACACAAGGCCGAAAGTTCAGAGCACCCACTGAGAGTCGAGCTCACTACTAAGCCGTAATGGATCATGCAAAATATGCTTGTTAACCATTACACCACCTCGAAGTACCCACACACATATAAATGCTTTATCAAACTAGTTTGTAAATGTCTTCTTGTCATTGTAACACTTTTGTTAATACATATCGTTTTTTCTATGTTGTTTTGTGATATTCATTTATTACCCGGACTCACATTTGATTCCACAATAATTTTTTACGGGAAAAATAATACCAGGAGACACGTGTTTTCTGCATAAACATAGCAAGCTTTTCCGCTACGCCTTTAAAAGAAAGATTTTATAAATTTATCATTTCATATTCACTAATTTTAAATGTTTTTCTATGTGTTTAATCTTTAAATGTTTTCCTTTTTTATTGACATTGTAATATTTTTGTTAAAACGTGCATTGTCGTTTATTTTATATTGTTTTGTGTTTTACACATTTATTACTCGAACTCACATTCGAGTCCGCAATAATTGTTACCGGAAAATAATACGAGAAGACACCTTTTTTTCTATACAAACACAACAAGCATTTCCACAAGAATATAACCAAAGAAACTCAATTGAATTACGAATATATTTTATTCGTAAGCGTTGAACAGAAGAAAGAAAATGTACAACTATCTCAGTGCTTCGAATTATGGCGAAAGACTTATTTACTATCGGGATTAAAAATAGTCGTATTCTGAAGATACAAGGCCAGGTGAACATGGCGGGTGTAGCAAGACATCCAAATCAAAAACTATACCAATTTCTACCGGGTTTGCAAATAGACGTGAGGCCTGTGATTGTCCTGACAGCAGACAATGCCCTTCCGGTTGGCCAATTATGGACGTTTTTTTTTTCCAGTTAATCGCACCATTTAGGGAAAAGTAATTTGAATTCAGTATCTGATTTTGAAGAAGGTGCTGGTAATACACAATTCCGTTACAATCCCTGTAGAGAAAAATAAATGATGATAAGTTGGGGGGAAAAAATGCAGTGCGACGCTCGCCGGCAGGCCAGCTCTTTTTCTTCTTCTTCGGTCGCCTCAAAGAAATGGATTGCATTGCTCCCTTTCTCAGCTGTTACACTGGGCAGTTGTGAAACAGACATCAACTCTGCAGCGCCTACTTCAACTCACTCTTTGTCTGTCTGTCTGTATGTCCAACTCTAACACAGGCAGCGCGCATAAATTGTGTCTTCAATAGCGGCCATATTTCTTTTTTGTCATCAGTTTGCAGGCAAGACATGTTCGCGCTCGTTTCGAATCCCGAGGTAAATCATGTCTTTCGTCACAATCCCATCCGATAAACAGTTGCAAGGCCAGGTAAGTAATAGAAGTGAGGCTTGGCGTTGTCCTGATTGAAGACGACGCCCTTCCGATTAGCCAATTACGGAAGTTTTTCATCGATTGTTGCTTTTTAATAGTTTCATTTGGGAAAAAAGTACTTGTCTGAATTCAGCGTTTGGTTTGTAAGAAGGAGGCCATCATACCAAATGACATTTCAATTTCACCGGATACACAGCATCACCTAAGAGTGTTTTTGTAGTGATTAACTGTGGCTCATTTCGTTTTACCAGGACATTTTCCGTTCCATATTGTTGTAAATTATCCATTTTTCATCAGCTGTAATCATTATTTATTAAAAATAGGTTGTTTTGTTGCGTTTGAAAGAATCGGTGGCGCAAAAGAGGTCGACTAAATTTTTGTTGTTGTTGTTATATCGTGAGACGCCCAAAGTAACGAATCCAGTATCCAAGTTTTACTTTTCAAATACCTAACGACGCTCGTTCGGGATATATTGAGTATCACTGCGATGTCCCGTGCCGTGTAATTTTGGTTATTTTTAATGAGCGTTTCTATTTGTCCATAATCAACGACTGCAGACCTGGGCGAAAGATTTTCGGTCTTTCAGATCAAAAGTTTTCCTTTTGAAGCTAGTGAGCTACTCAAAAACACTATTTTCAGCTATAGCACCATCGCTCTAAAC